GTTGAATTGAATTTCATGGGCAATTTTGCAAAAGACGATAACCAAATTGACACTGAAAATATGAAAATTCGAAGAAAAAAATTGATAGTAAAACAATTAGAGAAGGGAGATAAAGCAACGGTTTCACTCAAGATAACTACAAATCAAGTGAACGATGTTGAAAAGAAAATTATTAGCAATTTGTTACAGTTTTCGTAAAATTAGTGAAGAGTTTCTGTGGGTTCTCTCTCTCTCTCTCTCTCTCTCTGTCTCTGTCTTCCTCTCTCCATTCCTTTCGGAAACGTCCGATTGAGTCGGTCGGTGCTTCATATGTTCATGTTTATGTTCACACCAAACAATCGATTTTATTTGTGTATGCAACACTATGTGCGCGAGATAGAGTACGAGTGGAGATAGATGTGTAGATCGCTTTGTGTTTCGACAATTCACCGCTCGATTCAAAAACCATTTACCAGGCCATTAATCAAATTCATACATGAGAAATTGAGTGAATGAAGGCGACGGGAAAAATGGAGAGAAACAAAAGAAACAAAAGCCAAAAACATCGATATTAGTTGGAATTAAAACAAATTTATTTATATCATAATAGAAATATATTTACGAAGCATCGACGAAGAAAGAAAAACACACGAATCTTGTTCGCTATTGGTTTTCATTCATGGACGATAGAGGCAATGAAAGAAAACAACAACAACAACAGCAACGCCACAACATAACACCGCCGACCATTCAATCGATCGACATTGTCATAGAAATCGGTTCGAAACAGAAGATGTAATTCGCGTTATTAATGCATGGATTTAGCCGCTTTGGATCGTGTGAATTTTTGTTTCCACAAAAAATAACACACACACACATATTAACACATAGAAAAAAATTCATAATTTTCGGTCGCTTTCCCAAGCCCGAAAATGTTACGGATTCATGTATTTGCTGTGACCGATTCCATTCATTCGCTCTCTTTCTCTCTCTCTCTCTCTCTCTCTCTCTCTCTCTCTCTCTCTCTCTCTCTCTCTCTCTCTCTGTCTTGATGCCCGGTGATCGAACTCGAAGACTTTAAACGCTTTTTAATCTACACAAATGTTGTTGTTTCTCTTGATTTGGTTCTTTGTCCAGAGCGCGACCATAATACAATACAACAGACACGAGAGAAGAAGAAGAAGGCGACGACGAAAAAAAATGGATGCGGTAATCTGCAGCCAAGGAAAAAGGTCTGTTAAATTGAGTTGATAATTTTGAAAGCCTATCGAATTCAATTTGGCTACGCGATTAATTGTGAATTCAAATTATTATTATTGGTCCGCTTTTCTCCTTCATGTTCCTTTCGATGAGCAGGTCCTGATATCGAAAGTGAACGAATGAACACAGTTCAACGGTTAAGTATCAACCTTGGAGCCAATTTGACTACAACACCTCCAACAACAGTTGCATCATCATCACGGGTTAAAATAGTTGGGCAACAGGTGTTGGTTGCATGCGAACAATGCAATCAAAATTATAATTTTCCAACTGAAAATTATGCATTACAAACTCATCGAGCGTCAATGATAATAATGAAATATGCATGGATTGAATGCTGAATGCAATTGAGGGATATTTTGGTCCCAAAATTATGGGCATCATTCATGCAGTCGTAGGCCATAAGTAGTTCGAAATTATTTTGCATAATTTCATTTGTCTATTGATATATTTGTCAAAAACAGTAGATATAATGATGGCAAATCGATTTGGTATTTCAATCGTTCGACTTTCCTATTTAATTTGTATATTATATAAATCAATGCATGTACGACTCATGCATATAGGAGACGATATCATCGATTTGGCTCATTATTTATGCAAACCACCGTGAACCATTCTAATGAAAATGGTTTCTGGGTCGCTGCATTAAATGCGATGCACATCATCATATCGCTGTATACAGTTTTTTCCTATGTAGAATATTGCTCAGGAAATGGAATAAGAGAATTGAACAACAGACAAAAAAACAGGATTGAACATATTTCGAAGATGCATTGAAAAATGATCAAGTTTTCAATTGTTTCGGCATAACGAAAGGCTCGTATAAAAACGCTTCTCGTTATTTTTCTGTTCTTCTCTACATTTAATTCGGTCGATATGATTTATGGATTATTGAGTAAAATTTCAAGAGATAAACGGTCGGCAGGTCCAGGTGCTAGTGTGGTCCAGCGAAGCAGATTAATTCAAAGCGGATTTTTATTTAAAAAAAAAAGAGACGTTGTTCTCAACATAGAATCCTTAAAGGTGATCAGTAGCTGAAAGGTTAAAAAAATAAAGATTTGTGAGAGAAAAGAACTGGTTCATGATTTTCGAATAAAATATACGGTTTGAATTCAATTGGATATCGTGACAAGTGATGAAATATTCAATTTGAATTTCGCAGAAAAAAGAACAGCGCATTGAATCAGACGTTAAAATTCCTGATCGAAAATGTCATAAAATATCAATATGTGAAAAAATTCTAAATCGCATCTGAAATTGATATACAGAGAAAAAAGTCTATGGATTTCTGACATTTCGATCTCGTATATTCAAATCAATGAGATCATATTTGTCGTGTGAAAAATGAAGGGTAAAAGAGATCGTAGTTGGAACGATTCCAATAATTTACTCACATTGGATTTAGACCAAATCATTTATATGAGAGCTTTTCAATAATCATTGTTCTATGCTGGAATTCTTGGGCTACAATAGTTCACCGCTGGAGAAAAAAAAAGAGTCATTTCGCTTATTACATACGGGTTTCGAAGAGATGAGAGTTAGATATTTATTAGTGGAGATCACTGAAAGATATCGGTTTAATATATCATTTAAGGCACGGGTATTGTGTGCTCATGGATCGATATCTGATTATATTGTGATTTGTTTTGATGCGCATGGCTGGGTGTCAAGCCGCGATTTGATAAATTACTCCACAGTCACATTTGAACTCTTACCACTATTTAAATGAAAACACTTTTTTCCCAATCGCTCGTCTCCTCTCTACTCTCTTTCTCTTTCACACTCCGTTTCACTCACTCTCTTCCACTCTCTCGCTCTCCCCGCTCAAATCTAATTGAATCGAAACGAGTGCACGCGCAACAGTTTTTGATTCAACGAGAAATCGCTCTCAATCAATTAAGCATACAGTTGAGATGGGTGAGACTGGCTCATCGTCTGTCCGGGCTTCATGTCGTGTGATTTCAATTACGTATGCAGTCATTATGGCGCGAAGTTGTGGCCGGTGTACGGGAGAGGTCTTAATTTTCAGTGAAATCAATTTAAACGTTTCTAATGTTTTTATAATGATGATGGTGCGATGACGGAAAGTTTCAATTAAATTAATTTGAACTCGGTACTTTGATTTGATTTCCTCACACACATTTTATGGAAATAATTCAATGTTGAACGGAGATCCGCATTTAAAAATTGCATTGCTGATCTCATTTTTTTTTCTGGAGAAATCATTTATTTCTAGCAAATAAGCCTACAAATTCATTTTATTCTGTGGTTTTGACTAGTTGAATCAAAAATCGGTTTTATACTCTATCGATACGACCGTTTCATCCAAAAAGTCAATAAACTGTGGCGCACAACCAAAAACAAAACTGAGTGGATTCACATATAATTAAAAAAGGAGTTTGTTTTTTTCTGTCTATCTCTCTCTCTCTCTCTCTCTCGAATCGAATCGAATCGAATCGAAGAGAAAAAAATTATGATTTCTATGAATAAATAGCCAGAAGCATGCCGAATGTGGATATCAATGCCAGAAATAGACTCAGAGTGATAATTCGATATAACGCAGCCAATGGTTAGTAAGGCTATACTTTCAGCTCAACGAGATAATCGATATAATCGTTAACATGATATTAAGTCTTTTGCTGCTGGAATTCGTTTTATCTAAATCGATAATAAAGATAAGAAACGTTTTATACAAATTCGATTGAAAACCAAACCATAACAATTCGAATGAAATCTTATCGTCTAATTGGTTCCCTTTTCCGAATTTATTGTCGAATTTCTTCGATAGAGATAGAGAGAGAGAGAGAGAGGGAGAATGAAAAATACGCGTATAACTGTGGTCTTTGGTGTTTGTGTTAGCCAACCTTTGTTTTCAACATCGAAAATATGACAGAAAAAAAACAAAAGCCGATTCAAAATAACACGGAATGTATCGATATTGTATTGGGATTTTCGAGTAGGTGTTCTCTGTACAAGTTGTAAGCATGTTTTCTCCACATTGTGGCGTTTCGTGTCTGTGAGTAAATGTGATACTTTTGTCGCTTTCTTTTAATGGATTTCAGATATGTGATCTCTTCCACAGCGCTACCGAAATATGGCGTTTTAATTTGAATTTCATTTTAGATAACATCAATTTATTGACTGCATCCGTGAAGTCATCAAGTGATTTTGGAAAAAAGAATATTTGAAAGATGAATGCATCGTATGCGCGAATTGGTCGCGCTTTTCATTTCAACAAATATTTTAATCCATTTGGACTGAATTTGGTGTAGCAAATGTGGATTTTAAATATATTCCGGTCACACTTTCCCCATTAGGTCAATAAATAATTGAAAGGAAACTTCATTTGGTTCAGTGAGCCTTTCAAAATGACTTAAATCAACTTCCAAGGCATTTCAACGTAATAAAAACACTCTGAATTTTGTCTCTTTCGACGAAAAACGACAGCCTACGTGATGAAATACCAGCTTCATTTCCTTTCAACCAACTTACTTTTTTTTCAGCAAAAATAGAAGTATCGTTAAATTGTCAAGCCGTAGAGAGTTTGTGTGGTACTGTTTTTCGTGGGCTGTGGTTAAACAGTTTTACCAAACTATGAATTAGGCGAATTACTCAAATCAAATTTCTCAAAATAGTTTTACTTACCGCGCAACTAACTTCGACTCCTTTCTATATTGGGTGTGTATCTTGTAAAATTGCAAAAAGAAGAAGAAGAAGAAGAAAACCTTCAACATGGCACATTCATTTAGTTTATATCGATTTATTTCCACATTATGTTGTTGTTCTCTTTTTATCACATCAGTTTTTTTTTTCTTTCACTTGATATTTAATTCTATTAATGCCAGTTTATGGAGATTGATGCCGTCGCAATGAGTAGCTGAGGAAGAAACTGTTTCCAAATCGAAACACTACATTTAATAATACATAATAATACATTGAAATACATAATTAAAGGTATGAAGATCCACGGTTGTCCTACGTCTTTTTTCTTTAAATACGCATCAATTCGAAATGCTAGCAAATCAAAATGGGAAAATTCTTAAAAATTATTCTTATCTAGTGCGTGAAAGAAGTATGTTTTTGCTCATATGTGTGAGTTGTAGTGATTTTCGTGCGATTTAAAAAAAAAAATGCTCATCTGCAAAAAAAAACGGATTTAAAAAGAAGATCAATTAATAAAACATCAAAGCCAGAACATATCGATTGTGGATCAAATCCACAAAAAATGTACGTCTTAGACAAAATCGAAACGATCAAAACAATTACCTTAAATTCAAACGTAAAAGAAGTTTTTTCTTCCTTTTGATGATTGTAGTAAATTGTCAATGGTTTCATACTTCTGCTTGCATGCAGTGAATGGTCGAATCTTGTGATAAATCGTCAAGCGATGATTCTGAAACAAAGTTAGCAAGCGCTCAGTGTATGCTCTTCCATTTGGCGAATGGGCCGGGCAAACTTACCATGCGTTTTATTATTGTTGTTATTATTGTTATTATTAGGAATGTGATTGTTGTTATTATTTATGTGTAGCGAATTGTGTGTTGTATTTTGAAATGAGTAGGTCAATTGGAGATTGATATGACGGCTGTACGAGTTTCCATCGCTATCTCTCGGAACTATTAGGTGAAGAAGATAGAAAAAATGGCCCAAAATTTATGATTTTTATGTCTATTTTATGATTGAGTCAATTTATTGTAGTGGTCGTTTCGTGTTTCACCTGAATGAATGTGTTTCTTTTGGCGTGCTCTTGAATTTTGAAACCAGACTTGTGTAACACGCTTGCTGAGCCCGGTTACCGATGCGATCCGTTCTAAGTCTTGTCCGTCTGGATTGCTATCAATTTGAAAATTGGCCTGCAATACTTGCAGTTGCTCCTCGGTGAATGTGGTTCGAACGCGTTTTGCTTTACTTTTGTGATAGCCATCTGCGTCGCATCCATCTATTGGTGATTGGTGGTGGTGATGGTGATGATGAGATCAAATCGACTTTAGACAATTGCCGCTAAATTTTGGGTGTTGATTTTTGGACGATTTATTGACTTACCGTCGCTGGATGTGGTTCCGCCGTCAATGGTTTCGAGATAGTGTACTTTGCATAAAACTCTATCTTCCAGCAACGCAAATTGTTCTCCGGTGGATAATTGGCGACCGCATGAATCGCACGCGAAACATGCCAAATGGAACACTAATTCACGGGCCCGTCGAACCCAATCCGATGACGAAATTCCACGGCAACATTTTGAACACTTCGCACCAAAGTTCCTGCGCAATGGATTTATAAGAAATGAAAATATTATTTACTTTTCGTTCCGTAAACAAAATGACACAATGCAATCAAACGAGAGTTGGTTTTAGAAAGAACCGAAACCGATTTTGTACACGAAGAATTTTTCGAATGTGCTGAAGATGTGTTGTTATGTAAAAAAATCGACACTCATCGTCCATTGAACGGCATGAGCAACAATAACAACAACAACACACAACGTGAAGAGAGTGAATTTTGATTTGTGTGTGCGGCCACTGAGAGATGTGCATTGATATCCAGATATTTATGCATGCTAATGATGCTTTGAACCGATGTGTAGCCATTTGATTCGATGAATTAGCATAATTTTTTGTTTATCCATTGAAGATCCATTGCATGGTATACGACCGTATGAATTCTATTTTGATAACGAAAAAATAAAAATGAATAGACAAACACAAAATTCTTTATTCCATCTTCTTTTGTTGCCGGTTGAATGTGGCGGCGGCAAAGGCTCCTCTCACATTTGTCTATGTTGTTTTTTTTTCCCGAAACACATTCTTTGATAGTTAGTAAACGATTGTGGTAGGTACTTGAAACCTAGCCATTCTTCGCCTTTAAATCTTATGAAAATAAATAAAGTCCATCGAAGGTGCGCGCTTCGACACTATGTGTCGTCAGCAATGAGAAAACGAGACACTTTTTTTTCTCGTCGTCTTTTATTCGATAATTCGAAAGTTTTTATCCGTGGCAATTCAAATTGATTCATGTTTTGATTCCACACTTTGTAGAAAAGAGCAACGGTACGCACTCGAAATAGCGCTTCGAACACCATAATTCTGTTTCTTTTTTCGGTGAAATTGTCTTTGTGATTATTGTTTATTTAATTCAGAAGCATCGCTTAAGACCTTCAAATCGACTATAATCCTTGGGACTTGAGTGACTTTCCAACATATATGATAAAATCAACAAGAGAAGAAAAAAGTTACCGTGAAACGACGAAACAGTTGATGCTTAGTTTTCATCTCAAATCCTTAATCTAGATTTCTATTGTGAATTGGGTGAATAACGACAATCATAATTGTGTGTCATAAGAGAGTACCCATCTATCGAAATGTGTTAGCGCGAAATGATTTTTCAAGAAAAAAAAGAAGCAACAACGTACTCGCTTCAAGATGCTCAAATCACGGCAACTAATGAAGATAAATGTGTTGAACACACTCTATCGGCCGCCACTCTCTTCACAATCATCGACACAAACACGGCAAATATGTGTGTAAGTGATTGAACAAGACGAATTCAACGGAGAGAGAAAAAAAACAAACTTTTTACAATGGAATTGTTTTAATTGAAATTCATTTGAATATATCATTCGATTTGTTGATCCGGGCCAGCAGAAATGACCAATTGAAAGGTATGTGTACACACATGCTTGTGATTTATTTTTTTTTCTTTCTTCAATCGCATCAAAATGAAAAATTGTTCTCTTTTTTCATCATGGCATTTTCGGACATAAATCACTCGCATCTATCTAGCTGTACTTTCACAGCATTCAGCCTTTCGTTAAACATATATCGAACTGGCCAACCTGGATGAAACAAACGAAGAAGAAAAAAAATGGTTGAATACAGAAATCCATAATTCAATTGCATGACGCGTACATTTGGCTACAGATTGAGTTAGCTCACGCGCTCATTTATATGTGCACACTCTCGAACGCCACACATAATTTCATTTCATGAACTCTGCACGCGGAAAATGTACAGCCGAGAAAAAAAAATAGGCAACATTGATAAATATTTCAATTGTTAGTTTAAATCAGAAGAGCCATAGAAAGTTCAAACGGTTTATTTGTTAAGTGCGCGAAGATGCGAACCGTTTCAGTGAGCAAAAATTAACGCTTTCCATTCATTTCTATCGCAAACTCGGTGGACGTAAGCTCTGGCTGTGAGGAAACTGCATATTTTTCTTTGTAATTTGCCTGTTTCAACATTAACATTTACAGATTACATAATTAACTGTTGAAATAAAATCCCAAACAATCGTTAAAAAGGATGCATTGCCACTCGAATGGATCTAATCCAAAGCGAAGTTTGTCAAATCACCTTCGACGGATACGATTTAAATGCAAATTTTCACCCGGCACGCGTGCAATCACATGAGAAATGCTCACGTATAATTTGCTCCATTTTTAGTTTAAATTCTGAAATTTATCGGCAGCAAAAGTAAATTGGTTTGAAACTGAACGCGCAACATCTCGATACGACTGCACCAGCATCACTCGCGCCTGAAATGCATAGCCATTTCGACTGTGCAGAAGGATTTTTCATTTTAATGATCTGTCATTAAGTTTCATTTGGAATATAGATATGAAAAAAGTCGCCTTTTGGATCGAGGATATTTTGCGATCTTAAATCGATGATAATTTATGATATCTTTGTGTATTTAACAAACCAAAACCAAAAAAAAAAACAACGAACGTTCAAGTTGGCAATGGAGCACTTACTTTGCATAGTCAGTTTTACAGTAAATCTGACGCTCGCGTAGAAAGCAAGACGGTTGACGGTCCAATGGCGACAGGCAAATGCAGCACCGCAAACATGATCCATGCCATGTACAACCGCCGACTTCAAGAAGGTATCTATCCGATATTGGTTCACCGCATGCAGCACAACAACAAAGTTCTGTCTGTGGAAAAATGAGCGAGAAAAAAAATAAATTTATTTTTGAGACATAGAGAAATGGTCGAACTGCTACAAAACTAAATATGGATCAACAATATGGACTTTGCATGTTCGTGTGCACTGGTGTTTATTTTGTTTTTTTCATTTTCGCCAACAATGTTGCGAATTTCTCACGCTTGTCACCAGATTAGACATGTTTGGCTTTACACCATTTTGAATAAATGTGCGAATTACCCATGCCCGTCGTTCATTCTCCATCAATGCGATGAGTAGACATCTTCGTTCGTTCGTTCAACAAAATAAACAAAAAGGGCGATGCAATGTACATCGTCAATTTTCGGGGAATCTCAAATGCGCAACGCCATTTTATTAGGTATGAAATGCAAAAGCAATCGTTTCGAAGGTGCAAATACAAGCAGAACCAGTAGGAACAAACAAAAAGAATGAGAGAAAAACAGTAGTTCAAATATGCACAGTACCAGTACCATATAGGTGATATGAAAATGTATTTAATAACATATTCGTTCCGTGTGCATCTAGTTTTTCGTTACGCTTGCCTGAGTTCGGTGAGTGTGTGTGTGTGTGCCATTGTGCGAAACAGCCCAACAGACAACCGCAAAATAAAAATGCCAACCAGAATAGGCAAAGAAAAAAAACGTACACAAATTCCTCAGTCAATTTGGTATGTGTCGAGTGCTTCGGCCGTGTACACCACCCGATCGCAATGGGAGAACATTTTCATATTTTGCTTACACGTCTCTCTCTCTCTCTCTCTTCTCTCGTAACATATTCACATACCGAACATAAAACATATGTTTGCACGTTTCGGTACAACATCCTTGTAATAAAATTTCAGTTTGGGTCGTTGCATTGCAAATGAATGGAAACAAAAAAAGTCAAAATCAAAACTCATGATATACATCAAATGGCTGGCTGGCCGACACGATTTATAGGCAGCGATTGTAAGTTGGGTGATTTGCCAAGCGAAGTAGGAACAAAATCAAATCGAAACGAGAAACGGCAATGGCACCACAATAAATAGGGGTTGAAAATATGCTCAATCCAAAAATTATAACTTTATGACTGACATCAACAATACGCCACATTTTATTCATGATCTACGATACACATTTTTGTATCATTTTGCACATAATGTTAGACTGTTCATTCCGAATAAATGATGAACACACACACACACACATCTTGTCGGAAGGGAGAACCAGCGAATATGTGCCAGAGCACTATAGGTTTTTTTTCCTCTCTTTGTGTATGTCATTTTTCACATATCTGAAGTGCGACATTGTAGCAATTTTACAACGGTCCTCGCATGTTATACCACTAAAACCCTTGTTTGATGGGCGCGATAATCGACACACGATTTTGAAACAAAACACAAGCAAATCACATCGCCAGGGGAATGGTTACACTTAATGGGATTATGTTTGATTTTATTATGCGAAGGTGCAATACTAAACTTCTCTTTTCTCCGTCGTCGCCTTCGTCTTCTTCTTCTTCTTTTTCGTTTTGTTCAGCAATTGAACATGTAGAAGTAGATGTTAGTTTACAAGGCGTTTGTTTCTTTTTTGAATGAAACAAAACGCAAAATGTTTTCGACATATAGATAAAATGTGAAGATTTTCAGCATAAACGTCGCCGGAAACTCAATTTATGAATGACATTAGTGTAATGATTTGTTTGCCTAACATATCGGCGCAATGATGTACTAACCGTCAAAAATGGCCAATAGTTGTAAATTGTTTCATTGAGAAAATCACCGCTTACGCTCGACGTATTCATTCACAATTTTCGAGTTAAGTCGTTGGAATTCTGGTTAAGACGACGACGACGACGACGAGAAAGAAAAACAAATCGGTTGTTCGGACAAACCGATTCATTTGTGTGTCAACTTTGCATTCAATGTGGCTTTGTTTATTGGCTCGGAAAAGACGCAAGTACTGAAAACTCTTTTCAGCCATTTCAAGTATTATTCAAATAAAACGTGACAGATTTTGTAAATTTGTGATTTCTCTGTTGGGCATTTGGCAGTTTTTTTTTTCTACTTTTCTTTATAATTTTTTCCCATCTATAGATGTTGGTTGTTGTACACTTCTTCGATGGACGCCGATTGAATATGTAATTGCACAAATTTCAATTCGAAGATACAGTGTAACAAGAATTATTGTTTATCGAACGTGACATGGTTCTTAGTAACCGGAACGCCTGTGATGCCAAACAATCATCAATGGCAACCGAGTCAAAATCGTATCTCGCACACACACCGCGACCAATCCAATCGACCGATGGAAGATGTCTTTATGAATGCGACGACGAGATAAAGATGAACATCGATAGAAATATGTGATTTTGATTGGAAATAAGGCTAAGTCGAGATTTGTTGAACATTGTGCGCGCTCGTCATCATGCGCTGTGAACCCTTTCAACGCAATCATCTAAGACAAAAAGCGATCGCTATTTGAATATTCAAAATTTTTGACCCTTCTCCTCTTTCTACCGTGTTTTTTTCTTGTTCCAGCCGCAAATCTCAATTTTTGTATCTCTATTTAGAAGGAATTTACAAGCGGCACACGAACCAAACCGAAGAAAAAAAAACCACCGATAAAATTCGAGTAAGAAAAGACAAAAGAGAAAGAGAGAGAAAGAGTGGAACGGACCGTGAAGAAACGTAACGCTGCATACCGGCCAGCGGTATAATATGGTGAGAAATTCGCCATAAATCGATAAAATCTCATATCAATTTTTCTTTCTTTAGGTGTCAGATTAGCTATTTTATTGGAAATCAAAGCACAAAAGCTAACATTTTTTTTAATAACCTTTTAATATTTTTTTTTCTTTTTTAATATTTTCAGATGTGTCGTACGCACACACACACAGTCACAAACCAAACCAGCCAAAAAAAAAATCTCTATGAATATATAGATTGACTCTAGTCGACGCTGTTATCTCTAATGGAGCGTTTTTTTTTCTTTATATTTTTCATAGCCGTCGTCGTCGTCATCGTTATTTTTCATCTTAAACATTTTTATCTTCGCGTTCATAACACTTTTAATATCGCCGCATTCAAAAGAATTATTTAAGAGCGTGCGAGCACATATGATCATCGGCAGCAGGTTGGTGATGATGGAGAGAGCAGAACAGTTCAAAAGCCCACATTGACGCATTACATGCTATCGAAACGTATTTTACCGAATTTTATACCGTTCTACTACAAGTATTATTCCGTTTTGACGGTGATTTTTCTTGTCACATTACGAAATGGTAATAAAACGTTTAGTGATAATAATAATGTTGAGAAAATAGCCGAAAATCGATTTAACACAACCAGTGGCCAGCCACTCATGCCAGCACTAGTGCCGCAGAGCAATAGAACGAAGGTTTCGTAGAACCAAAACCAAAGACGATGAAGCACAGACAGACTCAGAAAGTGAGAAACGCCACAGCAGTCATAAATAAAACACATGTAAATTAGCTGAAACAACGAAACAACTGTTCGAAACTATTAATATTTAATATATATCATCCACTTTCAAAAGACTTTACCCAAAAGAAAAGTTGTATAAATATTCAAATTTACATAATTTTTTCTACACCAATGTGTTGCATATGGTTTTTCGGTTTTTGTCTAAGAATATTCTTCTTCTTCTTTCCTTTTCCTCTCTATCATCTTTTATTCGCTTCGCCGAAAATAAAACAATATCATCGGTTATCGTTGTTTGCTCTTTTTTATCGGCTACAAAAACATTGCTGTGTGACTAGTGTCGTCAAAATCAACGTCAGTCACAGTCCGCCTAGAAGTGAAATGGATGAGAATAAATGCGAAATAGACGATGTCGATGGGTTTAAATGCGTGCGACTAGCTTAAAAACGCGGTGCGACACTGTTGACAGAAATCAATTTCGGTTTTCGCTTTAAAATGGAATTATCGGCGAGTATTTTTGCGGTCGTTCCAAAGTCTTTATATCCAGCGTTTTAGTATCTTTGACCGTTTTTAATGGCTCGCTTCAGCATTTTTAAGTGCTGACTATGGAAAAAGAATAGCCCGATCCACAATTGTCTCAGCTTTGTCTATTGAATGATTCCATTTTTATTTATCTTCTTTTTATAGCTATCAACATGCTAAATATATGATTTCAAATTTTTCCCAATCCGACAAAAAAGCCATCTATTTTCAATCTGTTTACGGAATCACGGACGAAGAAAAAAAAGAAGCCCAACCAATTCGCACACATCGTTCGTTTGCCCGATAATCGGGCCCCGATTCCAGTCACATGTAAATGTCAAAAATTGTACCGTTGCCTTACAAATCATAATAGGCGAAACAGCTGCGCCGCACATTTCATCATCAATACGAAAATGTTTTCGTTCTCTTTTTAGCATTTCGATACATTTTTTTCTCTCCACTTCTCTATAATAAATTTTGCGCATTCATTTTTCTGTCGCTTTTTGTCTCAAGATGAATTTTTCATATAATTTTCATGCAAATTAGGCGCTTCTTTTGTTGCACAATAGTAAATAGTCGTGAGAGAGACGCGTTCTTCGATGTCGATATTTATTTAAATCACAATGCGGATTGCAGCATTCTCGCTCTCTTTTCAGTCTTTTGCTCTGGGTACATCTTTTCATTTGGTGTGTGAGAAATTAGCAAGTTCAAATAGAAAGAAAAGGAAAAACAATATATTTTTCAATTCATCTATGTATACGAGAGTCTGATGAATATTTTTGTCCTTATTTAATTATTTCAATTAGCATATTCATAATTATTGTGTTGCCTTTTCCATTGAAAATTGTGTAAACGAAGACGAGAAAAAACGGCGAAGACGTTGCGGGGCGCACAAAGTGAATGTCATCATTAGCAAAAGACGCAAGATAACAATTGCAATTGACGCTTATTTTCGGCGATCTTTTTTATGAGCGATTCGCAAACGAACTTCATGGTCAAAGGGAAATGAATGGAAATGTTCAAACTAGAAATCCCAACGCCTTTGCAAAGAGTTAAAGCATCTTGAGAAGAACGAGAGAGAAAACGTTAATCGGAATGCGCAACATCGACACTTGAGTAATTGTTTTCGAGAGTCTTGAATATGAAAAGCTAAAGAGAGAGAAAAAAGTGTGCAATTTTTTTCTTCTTGTAACCCGGCATTCAATAAGAACAAAAAAATAGTCATTGTAGTAAATGAGATACGGCAATTTGTTTGAAGCGTTTGATTAATAATTGAGCGTATAATTAATCATCAGAAAACAATTAGTAAGCGGCCAGCATAACACAGCATAACACAGCGATGCCCACTGAGTGTTTATTCTCTTGGACATCACAAATAAGAACAATAGAACAGAGAGGGAGAGAGAAATAAAACAATGATGGCCCCAACTTGTCTGTTAGTTGTGGTTAACCTTTGCATGAACTATAAAAAACAAAGAACAACGAAGAGAAAAACAATTGTAATGTTGAAAAGCCGAAAAATTTGTGTGAAGCAGCAGAAATGACGACACATCCAAGAATAGGCTTTGAGAAAGTGTCCAAAGATTGTGGAAATTTACGGCATCAAAAGCACCCACAAAATGAGGGAAAAAACCAGTAGCCAAAGATCCAAGCCTATAATTTTACATCAAACGAACGTTTACGTTTATGCGTAATCAAAGACGCGCTTTTATGATCATTTTCTTCGAAAATCAATTGATTTAATTTGATTAATGAATTGCTTACATTCGAATGAAGCGGAAAACAGATGAAAAAAGTATAGAGAATCTTAATATGCACACATAAAAACGATTTGTTATTGAATTAGCTACCGAACCACTTAAATTGCATCGTTGATAATGATGCGAAGTGCCGGAAAAGTTTAAATCATAAACATAATTGTCGGTTTCATTCAACAGCCGAAAAAAAACCGTTCAGTTTTTTTTCTTCTAATCTCATCAAATAGCAAATGACTTTTTAATTCAAAGCGTGTTGTGGTTAGTTGATGTTTTTTTGTGTTCTGGATCTTCATTTTTCTCTTCCTTTCCCAGTGTTCAATCATTTGATGCGTAAAAGGTGGTGTTGTTTCATGTTTCTTCTATTCATATTCATCGTTTTGTGTGGCTGTGAATGAAGATGCTTTTTCCATTGTCTACGCCCGAATCTTGATTGGCATATATCCTGTGTAAGTAATCAACCACTCAAAAACTGTATCACTTTCTAATGGACTCTTGGCTCATATAATTTGTAGGAAATAAAAATCGTTTTTGTGCTGCCACGTTGATTGGGATATGCGACAAAATACATGTACCACATACAAAGAATGACAAAAAAAACAAACAATTTTAATGATAATAATGATCAAAATCAATCTTGGATGTCGTTACACATTCAAATGTGTCAACTCAAATGCTCGGCTTATACGATATTTTTCTCGGATGACAATAATTGTTTTGTGATTTTGAAAAGTGAGTCCTGCCTTTTCTCTTTGGTAGTCGAATTCATTTTTCGGCTCCTCGCTCTCCCATTCTCCACAGTCGATTCCGTAGACGATTAAAGTCTAGTTGCACTTCATTTGATCGTCATCGTCGCACAGAGGTTTTTGTGTTCAAAACAATAAAAGTACTTTTCATTGCGAAGCTTGCATTTAAATTCCATTCAAATGGCAATTTATCATGTTATCCTTTTCAAAACGAGAGAGAGAGAGAGGAGAGTGAAAAAAAAGTTGAGTGTGTGTCACTCTGTGGAAGTATTTCACAAGCGAAAACAACCACGACAATAACAACCGAAAAGGAGGAAAAGAATGGGCTATCGAAAAATCATGTATCAGCCTTGAAAATGGATGAAGCATGAGTTAGAGCAACAAGGATAGAGAGCTCTTCTGTTCCATCAAAAACGTTCGCCAAAAGCAGATGCTCAATTTGTAATGTATGAACCTTCGGCCTTTAAAAACCGAATTGTGTCGCTTGTATGCATGGATTTGGTTATGGTTGCATTAAATGTGTAATAAATGCACACTCGATTCAATCAATACAATCACACCAGGGGTACGTACAACGTACACACATACATAAACAATATCATCATCGCTCAAACACTCACTCACTCAATTCGGCTAACATGTACCTCTATCATAGAGTCTATGACCACAAAACATTGTGTGTATTTAAAAAGTCAAGAGGATTTTCATTGTTTCGCCTTTTATCTGCTGCGATTTATTTGTATGCGTGTCTACATTGGGCTATTATATTGTAGAAGTGAGTCTGCATTGTTTGCTTGTCTGAACAGATTTTTCTATTATTCATTCTTTGAATTTTTACACATCGACCAACAACGGCAACAACAACAACAACAACAACAACAACGACAACAAGAAGTGACAAAAAGTCACAATTCTCTTTCACACTCACAGTCACTCGATTACATTGCATCATATTGCACATAAACTCCGAATGCTCCGGTGAATCGCGTACAATTCATGATCATGAAATGCTGTAAAGAAAATCTCTCTCTCTCTCTCTCTCTCTCTCTCTCTCAAAAACGATCTCAACGAACCGAGATCCGAAAGAGAGAGAGAGTGAGTGAGTGTGTGTGTATTTGTCTATTCAATTGAATTGAGTATGTTGTTATGAGGGGCACTTTTGTGACGCCATCGAACCAGGTAAAATGGGATTTTTATTGGTTCTGCGTTCATCAGTATCAAAAAGGGGCCCATTTATTTTTATAATGTCCATCAGCCGTTCGATTACTGTTGACCAACAAAACCTAATAATCCTGGTCGTGCGTTCTGTGTAGCTGTCAAGTTGCCTTCTTTATGGATTGCATTTCGATTCGCTCCAAGAGCGAAAAAAACAACATTTTCGATGCACTACTTCATTGTGGAAGGCACTCGAAGACAAGAGTAGGCCAACTAACGATCGTTTGATACGTGTTGAATGACCGAGAGTGGCATTGACAAACGTTTAGCAGAGGAGAAGAAAAGAAAAACAATGCAAACGGCTTCGGTAAGCGTATTATTTGTGGGCTTCTGCTAGATGCGTGCACATTGTCCCATTGCTACAGATGATTCAATATATGAATGCAATGATCGACACCGTTTGCCGAGAGCCAGCCGAATGTGTGCATGCATGCTTGTGCCATCTTCATCTCTCTTTCCTCCTCTTTCGCATTGTTACCTACTTTGATTTTGCCTCACACAATAATAATTGCACCGAAAAAAAAGCCTTGGCTATTTCGAATTAGCCGCATCATTTTCTTTCTTCTTGTTTCAGTTTTTCGGGCTATTCCATGCACAAAATTAACAATATCATCAAACCCCCTGTGTTTTCGTTGTTTTTTTTTCTTCTTCTTCGGCTTCGAAGTCGATGTCATAAAGAATGACGTTGCATTGTTTGTGTGTTTTGCAGTAAAATCGAGAATAAATGTACGTGTATGTCGTCTATGATGTGTTTCTATTGCTTGCGCCGGCCGAACGGAATATAGCAGAGACACAAAGTTTTTATAAAACAGTTTATAAATATGTTTTAATATTTAACACGCCTTTAATAGGATAACAATAGATTCTTGTCCCGTGCACACACTCGAAAGCTGCTTGTTTTTACTTCAAGAAGCATGTGCATGCCAATATGTTTTGAGCGCGCGCGCGCGCGCCTTGTCTAGAAATCGATCAGAAACCGTTCGATTTGTATACAGTTACAGTTACAGGACAACGACATAAACGATACTACAACTGTTATGATGATTCTTTTCGGAACATCAACATAAATTCGTACACCTTTTTTCGGTTTCGGAGATCTTCCATGGTTGTTGGCCATTCCATTTTGATTTATTACTATTTATCGATGATTATTTTTGTTCGAACAAAAAATCCCGAAATTTATGAACAAAAATGATTATGACGTTACTCTCTCATTGTCTTAAGGTAAAAGAGCACCGAAAATCACCTGGATTTTCTGTGTCGATGATATAAAAGTGATCATGTTATATTTTCTTCCAACATTTTTTATTATTAATCATCATTTCCGAAATCTCGTTTCGAAAAGACCCAATCATTTTGTTTGTTGTTGTGGTTCGGGGAGGCCAGACATATTGATTTTCATTTTATTTAAGGAGAAAAAAAAATGTGTGTCGATTTTATGATGTGATTTTGGGATTTAGTTGACTTACCTTCATTCCTTCAATTGATGTGTCCGCTAAACGAATGTGCTCCAAACCGCACATAAAGCCAATACTTCGATCGAACGGAATTAATGCGCGTCTCGTGTTTCTCACTTTCAAACACACAAACGAAAAGCGATCAGAAGAAGAAAAAATAGAACACACCACTACAACTACACGTACGGCAAAATGCGAAGTATTTGCTGTTTTCTGTTTATTTTACATGTGCTAACAACTTGCACGCGTCATCAATAAGTTTATTAATAAAGTTAAAATGTATGTATTTTGTGCACAAGAATGAGAATGAGACGAATTGTTGCTATTGACGATGCGATAAGAAAAAAGCGTCAAAATATATATCACAACGCGCGCTCTGCTCAGTGGTTGATGTTTGTAAACTTTTCTTTTCACTTGCAAATGGACTTCATACATCGATTCGGTGCACCGGATTCAAAATCGAACGAACGAAATGTGAATGGCTCAAAACATCAGACGCCGCCGTCGTCAAACGGAACAAAACACACGTGCACCGTTTCAAAGAATGTCATTCTGCATTTTTATCAGTTGGTTCATTTTGTGCTTCCCACTGTGAGCCATTCAACAACAACGACGACCAGAGAGAGAGGGAGATCAAGAAAACAAAAAAAAACTCGTTCTCTTTTCATTCATTTACAAAACAATCGCTGCTCTTCCTATTTTTTTTTTTCTTTATTCTTGTTATTCTCTCTTCTTGTGATTCAAAAAGTCAGAAAATAAATTATTTTTATCGCAATTTGATAAGTGCTAACAGTCTATTAGATTCACATTAAAATACTTGATTACAACGAATCTTTTCTACACTATCAACACAGAAAAAAACATTGCTTTCTCGGTAAAAAGATGTGCGGAATTGTTATGTGATAACTCGGAAAATTTCACTTGAACACGCGCACGATTATATGTTTCACTTGTGCGGGAGCGATAGAGAAAAAAAAAGTCGCGCAACCGCCAGGAAATCGCATACGAAATGCAAAACTGATCGAATAAATAACACCGATTTCACTGGACACCCGTAAACAACTAAAACAAAAATCTGTCAATGTTTTGTTCGCTGAACCAAATGGGCAAACAAGCGAAAAGTCCGATGAGATATGCTTTTGTGTCTTTGTTGGATATTCGAAATATCCACACACACATACACACACACACACACTCAAGCGCGCGCGAATTTGATTATAGTGTGTCTGGTGCTGCTGTTGTTGCTGCTGCTAGTGCTCTTACTGTTGCCTTTTATTGTATTTGTAACATGTATATACGCGTTCATGTGACGCTCTCACTGAACGACGTGTCGAAACATCGCACCCTCTCTCTCTCTCTCTCTCTCTCTGTATTACAGCTTTGTTTTGATATATTCTTTTCAGCTCTCGATTATAATATTTTTTTAAATGTTTCTTTTTTTTTGTCGATGCTCTTGCCAGTTTGTATGTCTCTCTAACTTTATATTGTTTTGCTTTTTCGTCGGAGGCCCGAGATTTTGTTTTTATTCTCTTTTTTCGGTTTATCAAATCGATTGGTGACAGGCACCAGCAACTATTATCAACATCGACTTTAGCACTTAAAAAGCAAAAATTCCGATTCGGTTCACATACAAACGTATGGAAAAAGCATAAAATTCAACGACAACGACAACGTCGACGATAAAAAAAGATACAAAACAGCCCGAAAAAAGACACAACGCTAACAGAATTCCAAACAAAACAGCAGGGAAAAATAATGTGTAATCCACCAACGAATTTACGCGAGAGAAGACAATTACAATGAAAGAGTACACACTGGATAATGACAACAGACCAAACGGGACGAAACACTGTTGAACATTTTATGTGTTTGTCATCCGTGTGTTGCATGCAATCGCATGGTATGTGTATGTGAATCTGGTTCATTGGTTGCTAGGCGGTAACATATAAGTCGCTTTATGCCCGCCCGTTTTCTATCATTCGCATATGAAAACGTTGGTGAAAAAGCAACATCTCTCGAGCGCGCCGCACAGATACCATGCACGATGATGACAACCACAACGACAACGAATCCATAACACATTCGCTGTTTTCGGTGCGCTCTTTTTGGCTCGTATTTTCTCTCGTTTATACCGTTTCGTTCAAGGGGACAACAGCCGTTTTTTTTTCAGATCATCATCACATTTGTGCATTTTTGTGTTTTGAATTTGTGCACTCGGACAATGTAACAATATGTGGGTATTTTGCATATATTTACTTGAAGATAGAGCTTACTACTTAGAACTAAGAATTCTTATAGAATTAGATTGACAGAGACAGTGGATAAATAAAGCAGCGAAAAGACTAAATTTTGCAAGTAAAAACTGTTCCACTTTCGCCTTATTAAAGCTGATTTTATTCATTTTCAAGTCAAATTTATTTCATTCGAACAGTAGAAACTCTACAATTTAGTTTGCAAATGCACAAGATAATATTCTGCCGTAATACGCCCCTAGCCGCAAATCGTCTGTCTTTTGCACTCTTTGAAATGTTCGTCCGCTGGTTCGTCCGCTGGTTCGTCCGCAGTTGTAATCGGCAATTGAATGCTTTATGATACATGCGTGCAACAATTGGCGTGAACTGTTGATGACACTACTGGATTTTATTGCTGTGTGTATCAACGGAATTTCCGTCATTTGCTTACTTTTTCTTCAAATGATTCAGCCAGCAGCAGAAATACTATTCGCGCAGACGAAAGTATGTGCTGAGATTAAAATCTCTTGAAACTGCTTCATTTTACATGGAATATTGAATGCTGTTCGTTGTGTTGCACAAGCGACTCGTTGTCTCTTTTCAAATTGCGCCGAATGAAAATTTCCACTCCATTCGGATTGTTTTGTTCGGCTTTCACAGCATCAAGGATAAGAAGTCAGCTCCTTAAATTGAAAAGCTGGGCGAAATCACGTACTGTTTATGCTCTTTACTCGATCAAACTAAAATTGATGCGCACAAATGCTGTTTTCTTCCGCTTACTCTTCCTCCCTGTCTATCTCTCTCTCTCTCTCTCTCCACCGAAATTATCATATTTTTGTATCTATTCAGATAGAGAAAAATGTGTATAAAATTGTTGTTTTGTGCGAATCATGCGCTCGTCATCTGTGACTTTATCGTTTGATATGCGATATGTTTACGATTTATTTTGCATGGCATTTCACGAGGAAATTGAACTCGTCATTGAATAGGATGTAAACAAGCCATAAAATGTTATAACATATCGCACAATTCGCCGACGGTGGGCGCCTCCTGCCAGACAAAAGCCATAGTGTTTCACACTATGTATGCATACACTGGAATCTGACTGAGTTTTGTTCTCTCCGCTGTTTCTTCTATAAATTGTTACGTTTTGTCAAATTGAACGTTTGCATGATCTTTCAAAGCGATTGATAATGAGCTGAATAATGAATATATGATTTCGAGAGAGCGAAAGAGGAAAATTAACCGAATATGTTGTTCAATTGTTGTTTGGAGGGGGTGCCCGATGAAGGAGTTGCAAGTATAGAGTAATTCTATTTGAAGCTAATCAAATCAGTGTTGGGAAATGTATGTGGACACGTGCAAGACACACGTTTCCAGCGCCCGATTATTGCGCCATAATAGAATTATCATATCCGTATTGAAAATGCCCATTTTCAAGCCATTTTACTTTACACTGTACCACAATATCACTTTTGTTGCTATCGATTCCCCATTTGGATGATGCGTGTCTTTTATTAGTGCCTTTGCATTTTGAATACTCTTTGACTTTTGCAAACGTCTGCCTTCGAATTCCGAATCACAAAAACCAAATTAGAGCAACTGAAAACCCCTTTGGATAATTTTCCGATTTTATCGAGCACTTTTCGCATCGCCAAAAATCGTGCGCATTTTGAAAGCGAAAGAAGCATTCGTCGATTTAGGCTATCTCGCCATAAGTCTATTACGTATTCATTGATGTCATCAATGTCGACCGTTGCATACGAATATTTGATTATAGCTGTAGGATTCAGTACCTCCTGTGGTTCAAGTTCAATCAACCCGCATTTGAGCTGATTACAAACCATCTCGCACATTCAATCGACAATACCAAATCCATCTTCAATGATTCAGTGTCGGTTCTTGAGGTTCGGTGATATGTTCGCCTCCATCTGTGTTTGTCTGTGTATCTTTCTCCGGCTCTTTATGCTCTCACTCTGCTCTCTCTCTCTAGCTCTGTTTAAATTCGTCTACGAAATACAGAACATTCGGTCAAAATGCAAACACCTTATAATCTCTGGGTGAAAATCAAATCAATTATATTTGCATGTGTTTCGTGTGAATCAGTTTAGAATTATGCCGGCGATAAGAGCGCAAAAACCATGAAACAAACAAGCAAGCAGCAAGAAAAAAGGATGCACCCAAACACACACAACAATTACAACCGAAAAAAATTCAAATCCAAGTGTTTATTTGTGTTAGATCGATTTAAATGTTTAAACTTTGTTTTCCTTATGAATGGCATTTGAGGTAATCCATTGTTCACAAATGCTTACTACAATGTGTAATGTGTAGCAGCATCTCCAAATAAACAATGAACAAAGGTGAAAATAGATAGAGCGGCTGAAGTCGAATGCAATGCTCGAATACATCCATATACGACACTCTGCGCACAGAGCGATAGAGAGAGAGAGAGAGAGAGAGAGAGAGAAAGAGAGAGAGAGAGAGAGAGTGAGTGAGTGAGAGACGAGGAAGAGGAAAACTTGAAAATTCAATGAAAATAAACAGAGGTTATGAATAACAAATGGATCTTGTGTGACCATTACAATGAGACTCAAAAGCAATGAATTCCAAATGTGAATAGAATTGTGTGTTAGAAGAAACCGATCATAAAGGTGTTGGAAGTTTATCATTATCACTTACCTGAAAAAAACACAGACAAACATAACGCACAATATTGAAGCCCATTGAGCCACTCCATTTGCTGTTTGACATTTTCATTGTTGAAAGCTGCAAAATTTGCTTGTTCAAATACCAGAGAGCCCGGAGACCAGAGACAGTGCCAGCGCGCATCGAAAATGAAAGAACATATCATCTGGGTGATTCTTCTTCTTTCTTTACTTTTACATTTTATTTTTTTCTTCTTCTTCTGCCTGTTATGGCTTTCTTTCTTTTTTCGTAGACCAGAGAAACAAAATTGAATGCAACCGAAAAATTGAAATAGAACTGATTCTGGCACGAGGCGTTTGTGTACCAAACCGATTGTGATACTTGCAATAGCTCGAATACTCATTTCAATTTCTATGCAGTTCGAAGGAAAAAAAAACAGTGTTTACAACAGAACAAGACCTTTTATGCATACTTTTTCATCAACCACAGCATTAATGGAATATTTTCATGCGCAATATGTGTTCCAATGCGGTTAACTGCAACTTGAATTACTCTGAAAGAAGGATTGCGAATAGGTAAAAACTGGAAAAAACGTGGTTTTATTTTGACATAAAAACTATTTAATAGCAAAAGTCAGTTCAATTTTATCGAATGAAAAGACGATAAAAAGACTCGCTTTTCCATTCATTTGTGCCAAATGTTGGGCTATAAATGCCAAGAATCCCTTTTTCCGTGATTTACAATCTTGGCCTTTAGTCGAGGGCAATACTTTTCTTTGTCACTTTGTTCCGATGGAAATGGAAGAGAAACCGAAAAAAAACTAATTTGAAAAACGCGAGTACATTGAAAACCAATAGAACAATGGATAAAGATATGGAAAAAAAAACAAATGAAACAAGGAAAAAAAGAACAACAAATGAAAAGAATCGCTTGTTATTTCGGTCAGTAATCTATTTTTCCGATGAAATGGCTTCTTGTTGCACATAAAAATGACAGTTCTGGGTGCATTTAACAAAAAGTTTTTCCTCATTTCGGCTTATGATCCAAATGTCTTGTTGTTGCAGCCCATAATCTTCGGCTTATTATAACTTTAACTGAAGCTATTAAACGATTACGATGTTGTCTTATGATCTTATGAAATTTCATTAAGCAAAACCTATATTCAGATTAGTGTGTGTGTGTGTTTGTGTGCTGGTTATATGTTTTGTGCATGTTTGTGTGTTGTTGTTTTTTTCTCGAGAATCTGAGAAAGCCAATAGCCAAAGGTGTGTTATGTGTGGACGAGAAATCAAAAGGGATCAAAGTAACAAATCATATCGAGAAGCGCATGAAGAATGAGACAATCTTCAGCTGGTTATCTCTCGTCTCTTTTCATGTTTTCTTTGTATCACATCACACAAGATACTTTTCTCTCTCTCTCTCTCTCTCTCGCCTTTATTATTTCTTTCTTTAAACTGAGACCATTATTACAAATTTAAATACTTTTATCTTTGACTCACCAAGTGTTTTGGTTTTCCACTTTGCACCACACGGCGATGCGACGTTCCGATGTCATTTGACATTGATTCGAATGTTATTAGAACACCGGATAATCCTTTGAACCGATGAACCACGCACATAACATTCAACGTCTCAAGTATTTTTGTATACCTATATATCGATCTTTGAACAAACTGAACAACCACAGAAAAATAATAGAGAAGGAAAATCGCAATTTTTTGTGTGTGTTTTTGTTTTTCTGTATTTCTTGCATTGCTTAATTAAATTGTTGCATTTATTTAGTCATCAATAGAGAATTAAAAATTATGAGAATAAATATTCTTACATACTTGTTCATAAATTATATTACACAAAAGAAAATTCATTTAAAATTGCTAGACAATGAGCAAAATATGCTAAGTAACATATGTGTTTACTTTTTTGCGCACAGTTTCTTTTCTTTTTTTTTAAATATTTTCTGTATCATTATTTTGTTGCTTTGTTTTTTTTTCTCATTTGTTTTGTTTTGTTTGTGTGTGTGTGTGTTTGTGTTTTTTTTTTGGGGGCAAAAACTTTTCAAAAGTGTCGTTAGAGCTATGCAGAATCGTTACACTTTGTCAATTAACATTATGGATGGAGGTTAAAACCAAAAAAGACAATGATCGAACAAATAAAGATATATCACTTAGTTTTAAATTGATGGGAGGTTGGCGTCGGGGCGGTTATCTCCCAGCTCTTATACCAGTAAATTGGTTTGCATATGTACATTCAGTTCGTATGGAGCTGCAAAGAAAGAGCAAATCGAATATCGTGTTAGAGATGTGTGCTTACAAAGCCGGCGCTTAAGTGCTGATTATAATAATTCTTCGAGCAAATTTCGAGCGAAATAAGAAATGTTCCAAATTTACCTTTGCGTTTGCCTAAATGTGTGTGCTTCTTTTGTCGGGCGCGTGCATTTTGGAACCAAACTTGTGTGACACGTTTGCTGAGGCCGGCATTTATTGCGATTCGTTCTAGGTCTTGACCATCTGGATTGCTGTCAATTTCAAAATTGCGCTGCAACACCTCCAATTGTTCTTCGGTGAATGCCGTTCGTACTCGTTTGATTTTCTTTTTTGACGAATCCTCACCACCAAAATAACTATCAGCTGTCAACCAAAAAAAAGATATAAATAAATAAGGGATAGATAAAATTAATCCACTGCCAAATCCGATTATCCCATCTGATATAGTTATCGTTAAATTTGTTGTGTTTTATTGGGTTACTTACCGTCACTTGATGTCGTTTCACCTTCAACTGTTTCGAGATAATGCTCACGGCTGCAAAAAAAGGGCAAATCAAATATCGTGTTAGAGATGCGTGCTTACAAAGCCGGCACTTAAATGCTGATTATAATTTTGTTTCGAGAAATTTTCAAGTTAAAATAAAAATGTTCAAATTTACCACAGGATTTGGTCTTGAATTAAGGCAAACTCTTCACCAGTTGACAGTTGACGATCACATGAATCACACGAGAAACAGGCCAAATGAAATACGTATTGCTTTGCACGACGAATCCAATCGGTCGATGTGATCTTTCGCTGACACTTTGCGCACTGTGTAAATCTAAACGAAAAACAAACCAAAAAAAATTCCTTTAGGCTTTTCTTTTTGTCTCTTCTACACAAATTTAGTTCAATTTTTGCTCAGTGCACAATTTTCAGTTGGGAGATTTTTTTTTTTTTTTCAATGCTCCGGAACTCACTTCATGTAGTCTTCCTTGCAGTAAATATTTGAATCGCGGATGTAACATGTTCGTTGTTCGTCAAGCGTTGCCAAGCAAACGCAGCATCGTAAACACGAGCCATGCCATGCATGCCCAGATACTTCTAACAAATAGCGATCGGAAATTGGATCCTCGCAAGCCGTGCAACACTTATACTCAGACTAATTGAAAAGAAACCGAAAAGAAGAAAACACAAAAGAAGATTAATCAATTTTCACTGGCAACAGCACAACGTAGAACTTCGTTTCACAAACAAAACCAAAATCAAACTAAAATGTTTGCGCATTTGAATGCCAAGAAAGAGGCCATTCCATCCACAATATTTTCATCATTATTCAAATAGCGCAAAACTCGAATCCGCTCGAGAAAAAAAAACGGATGTGTAAACTTTTCGAAGGAGAGAAATATTTCCCGAATTTTTGAATTTCAAATATTTCGTTTCTTTTTTCTCAACATGATGATATTTTACAACTCAATTTATTAATTCACACTCAAAATATGTACCTTCATTTTTGTTTATCAATAAAAATAAATGTTCGCCAAATCTATTCTATTTTTAAATCTTCGATGGATTATTCAAATGAAATGCACAAAAACCGAACTACGTTGAAGAAAGACCGTTTTCTTGTCGAAACAAACACGTCAAAATGTTAAACACGCGTAGATCGAAAACAAAATTTGAAGAGCAGAACAACTTCACAAATCGATCCGAATAGGTCGGCTTATCTGATGATACTGAAGTATAAGCACAAAAAGAGGCATCTATAAAACGGTTGTGTCGATGCTCTGTCTGTTGCTCCGAAAAATAACAGCAAGAAGAAGAAGAAGAAGAACAAAAGCAACACACACCACAATGTCAGCTGCTGCACGTGTATTGGTCGATTTGAAAATCTGGCTGTGGAAGGTAAACCATCGATGAAGAGGCGACCGAACGGCAAGCACAAAAGCGAATATAAAAAAAAACACAGACACATAAGCGACGGCAACTCGACAACTGCAACAGTTACAAACACCGAGCAAACAATGTAGTAACACCGAAAATTGGTACAACAATGCGCACATTTCCATGTACTGTCAGTACGTAATAACAACAATATAAGGTGGTCCAAATGTGGCTCCGCCCATCGCGTTCAACACTATTCGTTTGTTTATTTTCATGTTGCGTGCGCTTCTTCTTCTCGTCTTCTTCCTCCTATTTTTGCCGGATGATTTTCGGTCTGTCTTCTATTGCGCGCCTCACCACACATCGCTCACAGCGGATCGCCGTTCGTGGAGTGAGATGAATTGCTCGCACCGAATCGACGAATAACTATAGTCGAATCAATAGTAAACAATAAATAAATATTTAACTTATTACTGGCTCGTTGTGTGCTGCTGCTTCTGCTGCCAGCTTGCACATCCTTGTTGTTCACACTTACCATTTTCTACTTCTTTTTCCTTTGTCCAACAGATTTTTGGCTGAAGGTTTTTGCTTTTGTCTTTGGAAACAGTTTCTTTCCTTCGACGATGACTTTTTTTTGCTGCATACGCTTCACTTTATTATTTATCGAAGAATTTAATTATACTCGAATATTATTAATGGGGAGACAGTTAAAAGCGTTTCTCATTTTCATTTTTCGTGTCAATGCATCAAAACGCAAATCGAATTTTTTTTCCATCCAGAAAATGATTGGTATATTTATCAAATGGCATTTATTTATTTCTTTTAGTCTATTTTTCTCATTAACTCTCATGACACCGTTTTTTCGGCGTTTGTATTTCACTTGGCAAGACTTTTCCGTCTCGCCTCATGATGATGACCATTTCTAAATACCACTTCATTTTGGAGTCGTCATTGACAGTCTCGCTGCATGCATGCTGTGATCTACGTTTTATTCACCGTTTAAACTCTTGTTGACTGTAGTAATTTTTCGATTAAGTTGAAATCATATCGATTTATCATCAACTTGAATTGATTTTGATCATTGAAACTTTATCGCCATACTTTCGTCTTGATTCCTTGTTGTTGTCGCCTTTTTTGTCGAAATTCAAACATTTTTTCGGGAGAAAAATTGTCATATAAACCTTCACTCAATTAATAAACCGAAGTGGTGAGACAAATCATACGTATAGGGGCAATGGTCCCGAGCAAATCGGCACGGATGGTGTCCACATAATGTGCTGTCATCAATACGATTGTCACTTAATTTCTAATTTGCTGTCTGCTTTGCCGGCGACCAAATAAATCAGCGCACAGCTTTCGTAATGACCAGCTTTTTTCCCTGAAAAATGAAAAAAAAAACTAAGAACTGTTACATTGATGGTCTGAATGTTCGTTGAAATGAAATCAATTCATATTCGAAATGTGTGTCAGTTGTCTCATCGACAGTTGCTCATAGTTTCTGGTTAATTTTTTTTTTCCATTATTGGAATTCCGTGATGAAATTTCAACGAAACACAAATCCCATTTTTCACAAATGCAGTTTCTCTTCGGTGATTTAATTTATGGAATGTCAAGCGCTCCAATACGGTGCTGGCAACAGCTTTTGTGTAGATAGTGAGAAGCAGAAACAGAATGAAGACGTAAATTATTACGTTGGAATTTTCCGACCGAAAAGAAGAAAAAAAATTTCTCCCCGTAAAATGTGTTTCATCCATTTAATTAGGAATTCCATTGTTCGTGCTAATTGTGTTCTATTTTGTTGCGCAGCGCACAATTTCTTGACGTGTACAACGAATGGAAATGTTGGAAAAATTCGAGGCGGTTCTCATATATTTTCTTCGCCATCATGTACACGAACTTTGGAAGATTCTTCAATTAAGAGAATAACTGCTCTATTTCCTTGTGCTAACAAGACAAGAAATTATTATGTCGTTTGGTATGGCCGACATTTTTTCTTCCCCGAAACTCCATTTGAAATCTCAATGAAAAATTGACATATACACATCCATGGGCTTATTTGTTTCGTGTATATACACCACAGGCCATAAGTTTGGATACCCCTATGAAACGTTTGATTCTACGTTTTTTGAACATTTTCACTTGAAATTTAGTATTGGATATGAAAATATATCGAAATTCTGACCGAATGGAAGTTTTGGAAGATAACATTTGGCCGGCCTATGGCCATCTTTTGGCCTTTGAGCTGTGGGAGCCAAAATCAAAGTCTTAAACGGGCCATCGGATTAAAAAGTTATATACGCCATTGGAAAGGTCTTGAAAAGTCGATGTGATTTTTGGTATTAAACATCAAAATCGGCCGGCGTTTGGCCAAAATATGGCCGTTTGTAATTTTTGGCCGAAATCTTCAATCAGCCATATCTTGGCCAAAAGCTGGCCGATTTTGATGTTTAATACCAAAAATGATACGTACTCTCCGAGACCTTTCCAACGACGTATAGCATGTTGAAATTGGACAAGCGGTTTGAAATTTTAAAATTTTGGGCCAAATTCATTCATAGGGGTATCCAAACTTATGGCCTGTGGTGTATGTGTTTTCTTTTCATTTCAATTGCATTAAAGAAGTGATAACATCACAGCCCACTTTTTGTTTATTTCGAGGGGTGATTCCAACCGAATAGCTCCTAATTGGTATTTATGGCCAATATATTTTCATAAACGCAGTTTTACTGCACGAAACACCTGTTATTAATCTATTCATTAAACACCGAAACTCAGTGAGATCGGATCCACGTTTGTCAATACCAAAAATGCAACATTAATTTTTCCATTTCAATAACATCGCTTGACTTCCTTTGAAAACATGCAAATATTTTCAATAACAATTTTGTTTTTTTTTCGTCTCTCAAATCAGATAAATTAAACACTTTTTCAACTTAACAGAACAAAAAACGTTTCAAATTGAAACTTTACATCTCTCTCTCGTTCTGGAGTTCCTAATAATAATTGACAGAATATGGTTTTAGAAAATCAAACGACAAAAAACGACCATATTAATAGTTCAAGTGGAAAGTTGATGAATTTGAAGGGAACTTTTGTTAGCGTTGGCATTATTTCAAGATGCCATTCAGATGGTATCCAAGAGAACATAGATTTTGATAAAAAAAATTGATTCGTTATTCATTTGATTGCGAAATCGGAACGTTCTATCACATCCAATTATTCAAGATCATGTCATAGATTTGTTCGATGATGTGATGATAAGTTCACTTCCTAGCCAATCGAAGAGAGAAAAAGAGGGAAAAAAAACGAATCATCCATCGGTTTCGGGTTGCTCGACCCACAATCATTGTAAATCGAGTGAAAAATTCACGCAAACAATGTGACACAATGTGATTCAAGAGGCCCGTGTTCAACACAATCGAATAATTGACTTGTAAAACGAAATCGGTGTTTGTTCGCAAACGCATTCAAGAATTGAATTATTACACTGGACCGAGTTCGGTTACGGTTCGATTGAGTTCTCAATAATTTTTGTGCGATCGAAACGGTCGAAAATTGCATTTCATTTTTTTTCATCGTTCCTTTCTTTGTTTACTCTTTGCTCTTGGTTCTGTGTTCCAGTGTGTGTTGTTGTTTTTTTTTCTTCGCCGTGGAAATGTGTACTCCACTGACTGTGCACTCCGATTAATAAGATTTCGCACGGCGAATGGTATTTTGCATTTTGGATTTCGTGCAAAGTTCATATTATGAAACGCCATAATAAATTATGGGTATTTATTTTGAACGATTGAAGGAAACATTTTATAGCATTGTGCCATTCAAAGACGGTTAGTTGTGAAAATATTTGGTGCAAACAGAGAGAAAATGGATGGGTTTTATTCTCTTTCTATCTTCGCTCGTTTACATATATGCATATATATCCATAATAATAACCATGGCACCGAATCGCAGCAGAACCTATGGCATCGTGTCTTTGTGTGTGTATGTGTGTTTTCCTCAACTTTAGCAATCATTTGGATTCTTATTAGCAAGATTATTATAAATTACCAAGTTATTAAAACAAATATGTGCGTTGTTTTATCTATCCATCCTTGTTCGGTGTTCAGTGTGTCGCTGCCTGTTTATATATGCAATAATTTTCGTTTTTCACGTTGATTCCATCGTTCGTTCGTTTTGGTTGGTTTTCGGTACAATAAAACTGACCACAGCCAGTTCTGCGCGAGGTTCTAAGCCATCGTCCGAATTGCCAAATGCTGTGCGATCAAACCGCAACGATCTCGAGAATGAAATGTGCGCACATTTTGGCGAGAGAAGTTAATTCAGGTAGTGCGGATATGGGCGTGCTGTACACTGTAATAAATTTATGATATTTTATTGAGCTGTGTGTTTCAGCTTCGATGCATTTATCGTAAAAACAAACATAATCGGATGCTCATGACTCTCTATTTCACTTCGGCTCAATATCGTCTGCATTCGCTTGCTTCGTCTCTTTTTGACCAATTTCTTCATTTACATTTCAAGTGTGTGCCGTGTTGCTTCTTCGGCATTCTGCTTCTCGTCCACACTCTCTCATGCACACATACATTTCATTATATCATTTTAAATTGGATTTTGCTCTCAGTGACGGCCAGTATCACAACACTCCCGAATGAGTAAGGTGAAGAGGGAAAAAAACACAGCCAAACGAAAAAAATGAGAGAAAAACACACGACGATCTCATTTAATTGAGATGTTATGGGCGAAATAAACTGAAATTGAAAGATTGTTGAGATAAAAATGTATATATTGCAGAAAAAGTGGAAATGAATTCAACAGCAGAACGACTTAAAAGAATGCACGTAATAACTTTAAATAGGTCTATAAATCTACTGGCGCTTTG